ACAATCAGCAGCTTTCAGCCTCACGTCCACTCCTCCCCCCATAAAAGGGCCGCTTCAAAAAGCTTCTTTTGAAATGAGGATCCAAGTAGATAGAGAGGGACAGGAGTCCAGTCACACTTGTCCTAGTGACAGACAAGTCTTTCAGCTTTGCCTGCTGTGGGCCGCAAGCCGAAGGGCCATGGCTGTGAGCCTCACCGCCCCCCACCACTCAGGAGAGCTCAGGGGCAGAGAGAAGGCCTGCTGGTTTCTAAGGGCCACCTGTAGGTGACAGGTGAAGGCTGGGCATGGCCACGGCGCACATACAAAGCCAAGGGGGACTTGAAGATCCTTGGTGGTCAGAAGTTTGGTGAAATCACACTAGAGAAATGTCTGGTGTCCTTGTTATTTTTTACAAGGGTTTTAGGTATTTTTAGCAAACTACATATTTAAGGAATGATAATAGTTTTGTCAACTAGATAAATATAAAGTAGGGAAATTTTTAATGAGTAAAACCATCGTCCAATTAGAATTAATTGCTGAGATTTTTAAATACCAGTTTTCAAAAATTTATATCAAGAATCTTACATGCTGCCAAAGTTAGCTCATGTCAATCAGAGTGAACAAGCCGTGTGTGAAGGCCAAGTAAATGACCAACGATACAGGGCAAATGACAGGTGGTATCCAACTATTGGGTCCCAGTGTTCATTTCAGTCTTTGGGTTTGGGCATAGGCTGGGCAGATAAAATGCATCTCATTCAATGTGTGTCTGAGCCAAGGTTTGGCTTAGTCTAGACCCAGGGTTTTCAAATTGGCTACATATCAAAATCACCTGGAAAATCTTTCAAAACATACCAATGCCTAGTATGTTTAACCCCAGATAGTGGGCAGTGGAATTTTTAAAAGTTCCCAGGTAATTTAACTATGTAGTCATTCTTGAGAAAACACTGGACTATCTTTAGTACCTGCCCCAAGTCTTGACTTGCGATACAGGCATAAGCTCAACTTAAAGATTTCAAATCACCAATGTCTGGGAATTTCCTCTTTGGGGATAAAACAATAACAAACAATGCATATGCCTCCTCCCTCCACACACACACAAACACACACACACACACACATACAATGAAAACTAAGTTTCCTCACCAGTTGGGTACTTGAGCCATCTGCACCATGTCCCTACTGGTGGTTAGCTTGTACAACGCACTGCCATCAAAGATCTGTCTAACCACTGCATATTTTACAAACATATTTCTGATGCACTCTTTACTTGGCAATTTCACAGTCTTCAGTGTTGCAGGAGTTGAGCTGTTGTGAATGACACGAACTCTTCCTAAATGAAATGGCAGTTTGAATTCATATGGCATAGAATTTATTCCACTAATCCAATGCCACAATTTATTTTCTAGAGCAAAAGGAAGTCAATTCTTTTGCTTGTGCTCTGCATTTCTGCACAGAACTTTTGCTCCGGGCAATTAGACAGTGACACTCCCAAGTCCCGAAATCTCTCATAATGTAGGCAGCACAGCCTGGGTGTTTAAAACAAGACATCACTTTTAGCCTCAAACGGGACCCACTTAGGGAGGAGCTGTCCCAGTTCCCTGAGGGACTGGCTCTTTGCTGGCTAGAATCAGGGCTAGACTAAGGAGATAACCAAGTCCAGCTCCTGGCCAAGAAAAGATCAGGCCTTTTCCATATGCCAGGAGTCACTATCAAGTCTTAATTGACAATTAGCAGAAAAGAAACTCCAGATTCCCTTACAGCCAGCACTAGCTTTGGAAACACTTATAATCAGAAATTCTGCTTTAAGTCTGATTTAATACACTCATGCTGGTCATTAATTAATATCATGGGGGATCCCACTGTGTTTTGTCTTGTTTTCCTTTCAAACATAGGAAGGTCAGGTTTAGTATACATTATTAATTCTGTGACCTGAGTATTGCCATCAATATTGTGCTCCGTTAAAACAGCTTTATTTTCTCTCTTGGGATTTTAAAATGGAAAGAATAGTAAAGAAGTGATATGCATAATAATTTATGAAAATTCTGATTTGCATTACTTAGGCAAAGTGATTATTGACAAACAGAATATTGCCATGAACACACTAACAATTCATATATCAAGAAGCCTGAAACAATACTGTGAAATTATTTTATCTTCAGAAGTCTCTGAAGAACACACCATGAAAATCAATGGTATCGTCACCTCATGAATGTATCGGCACCTGCTCCATCATAGCTATAGTTGCCTCTACTAATGCTTCCAATCCGTGACTTGTGACAGGAGTTCCAAGGAGACTGAGATACAGGCTAGTTGTCATATAACCTCCTTGAGGTGATAAGGACATGGTCTCATCACTCACTGTTGTATATATTTAAATATCTATGTGATAGATTGGTATCTTATTGATGTCACAAGTGTCAAAAATGAACAGAATTTAAAATACTGCCCTTTAAAAATATTATGTAATAACTCATCCTACATAGGATTAAGGATTTTGAAGTTTATTTCAAGCCCTGGAGCTCTCTTAGGAGAGGAGGGCCATTCTGAAGAATTCTCTGAGGCCTACAAATCATGCTTAGGGCAGAACCATCACACTGCTGCATGCCTGGCTTGTGCAGTTTTATGGCACGGTGCAGTCTCAGTAGCAGAGAAGTTACTTTCATGGACTATCCCAGTGAATGGGCATACATTAAAAAAAAAAAAGACTCTGAAGAAACTATATAATAGGAAGACAGTGAAAACAGAAATAAGAACACTAGTTTTTGGTTGTTGTTTCTCCCAACAAAAATTTAAAGTATTCTTAGCTCATTTCTTTCATTTACACTTTATCATATGTATCTTTTCTTTCTTTTTAAAAATATTTTTATTGACTTCAAGGAGGAAAGGAGAGGGAGAGAAAAACAGAAACATCAATGATAAGAGAGAATCACTATTTGGCTGCCTCCTGCACACCCTCAGTCCCACTGGGGATTGAGCCCACAACCTGGCCATATACCCTTGACTGGAATTGAACCCAAGACCTTTCGGTCCACAGGCTGACATTCTATCCACTGAGCCAAACCAGCTACGGCTCATACGTATCCTTTTAAGACCAACATTTTTACTAAAATAATATTAGAAAACTATATATTAACCTTGCAAATACTTGAAAACATATTTTAGAGCAAATTGTTAATGTGCATGTAAATGGTGAACTCAGTAATGCCCTTTTTATGAATTCTAAGAAAGTCATCCATAAGAATGATAAGTAACAATGATAAAAAAGAAAAGACTAGAGTCATCTCAAATGTCTCATAAAAAGGAAATGGACTTATTGAGAAAAATTTCCAAATCTGGTAACATACTCATGATATATTATTAGGTGAAGGAAGAAGGCTAAAAAGATGTTTATATGGTTTCATTTCAATTTTATTTTAAAGCTTTTTAGCATAAAAATTATAAGAAAGAATCTTCTTTTGTATGTTTCTGCATTTATTAAAATGGACCTGTATTAGCTTTGTACTCAGAAAAAATTCATTCAATGTTAATATAAAAACTGGAAGAAAGTATGTCAAGATGTTACTAATGATATTCTTTAATTGATGGGATGGCAATTTCTCTTTTCTGGAGAGCCTGCTCATCTTGCACAGTGGGAAAAATCCAGTGCTGTTGAGTAGCTGCATCTTCATTCTATCCTCACTAGGGACACTGGCAGTGACTGATCACAACACATTTCAGATTGTGTTGATTGAACTCTGATGTGCAAAATGCTAATGCATCATTTTAAGAGACTTTTGATTATTTGCAGTGAATTTTAAAGAAAAAAATTATTGGGAGACAATTGAAACTACTGGGCTAAACAGATTTTCCAAATGATCTGTGTCTTGGTGCCAAAGTCCTTTTCCGTAGGGGACTGGAAGTACCATAAGACACCTCTCTTAGGCAGTATGCCTCAGTGATGCTGTCACACAGGAGGCTGAGGTCGGTGGTCCCAACAATATGACATTTCCTATATTCTAATTAAGTCATTCTAATTGTTTTACATGCTAGGTACCAAATATATAGATCAGAGGAATATATTTTTTCCAACTTGTTTGTTCTTGTTTTGATGTTTTAACTATGAGTAGAGCTCAAGAAAGCCAGGAGTTTATTTCTATAGGAGTAGAAGAGTATAAATCCTCCTTTCATGTTTTTGCCAGTTGAAAATTGAAAAAGATGATTAGTTCTTCTCAAATCGTATACAGCTCTTCCCCAATCGCATATACAGTTAATTGTTTCATTCTAAAATAGTCATGAGTTGTTCCACTGCCTCAATTTTAGAATGCCACAATTTGCTTTACAGCTCAGTACTGCTAATATTATACTGTATTACTCTCTTTTGAAACAAATTTGGTAATTTTATTTACATACCTACTAGATTTCTTAAGCTCAAATTGGAGAAGTGGGAAAGAAGGCAAAAGATGTGCTAATATATGACAAGATGTACCATAGATAAAAATATTTAACTTACCTGCAAAAACATTATTCAAGGAAGTCACAGTATAAGTAGCATCTTTTATGACACAGGCTCAAGCACAGATGTGGTAAAGAATGATTTGCAGTTGCCAAAATAACCAAAAGACCTCTTAGTTTATTCTAGCAAATGCTGATATACAAATCTACAATTGTAAGTATTATGCCTATTAAATAACATTTCAACAAATACTTTATAAAACCAAGAATGGTTTCAAATGTACAAATTACACAGGGAAAGCATGTCCAAGTACCAATCTGCTTGCACTGCTTAATAGTTACCAAACATCATTAAAGGAGTGGGGAGGTGAGAGGGTGGGGACACAACTGTAATAGTGTCAACAAGAAAAATAAAGTTAGAAAAATTGTCATTGTGCCTATTCAGTTGCCATAGTTATTGCTCCCCTATGGTGTTTTCTTATTGTCTCCTTAAACATTCTTTTATTATAAAGAAATGCCTCTAGTGAGGATACCACTAAAATAAAATTAATATAGCCAGAGCGAAGAAAAATAAAATTTAAAAAGCCAACCTTTATTCCACTTTGAACAAGTTTGTGAATGTCCAAATAAGGCTCCTTGAAAATGTCTCCTTCGGGGGTGAGTATCTTCACATAGCCTTCCTTCTCCAGGATGAAGAGCCGGTGAGAGCCGTCCCCGCTGTGGAGGGCGCTGACGGGCTGGCGCAGCCCACTCACAACCTCCTGAATGCAGAAGCAGTTGTGCTTGTGCTTTCTAGACAAAGGAAAGAAACCGGTAAGCGGTGCTTAAGGTGAAGGATGGAAGGGATGCACTTAGCATCCTTTCAAAATATTAAATTTCCTCTAGGAAGCAATGGTTTAGATGGTCCTGAAGGGCTGCTAACCCAAAGGCACAATATGATTCTCTGAAATTCTTTTCAGTTGGGGAGAAATAAAACCAAACTGCCCCCTATCAAAAAGTAAAAGAGAATTTCAAAACATGTATTGGAAATACTGAGGGGAACACTTTGCCAAGTGTATAGTTGTCTAACCACTATGCTGTATACTGAGACTAGTACAAAATAATATTGAGTGTAAACTGTAATTGAATAATTTTTTTAAAAAGTTATTTTGTTTTTTTAAAATATATTTTATTAATTATTTACAGAGAGGAAGGGAGAAAGATAGAGAGCCAGAAATGTCGATGAGAGGGAAACATTGACCAGCTGCCTCTTGCACACCCCTTACTGGGGATGTGCCCGCAACCAATGTACATGCCCTTGACCGGAATCGAACCTGGGACCCTTCAGTCCACAGACTGACGCTGTACCACTGAGCCAAACTGGTTTCGGCTAAAAAAGTGTTTTAAAGAGTTACCATTCACACACCAACCTCGCTTCAAAAAATACGAACATTTTAAAACTTCATAAGCTCATTATTTCGTCTTTCAGTGACTATAATTAAAATGAGCTTTACTCACAATAATTAAACCTTATAGAAGGGTACTCGAGAGAAAGTTCTAAGACCTATATCTAAAACTCTGATTGGCTAAGAATAATATGCATCATAACCTAACAGCAAGCATACATTTCAAGTTAAAACTATACTCATAAAATTCACATGAATCATAGAGAAGCCAAGCTCATAACAAGATTAGTAATCTAAGCATTAAGAGCACTTATGCTAATATGACGTTAGAGAAGCAAACTATTAAAAAGAAAAAGAAAAAGCATGTAGAGAATATAGCTGCTGGACATGAGCAAAGAAAGATGAGTCACTTTCAAAACCACAAGTCTTTTCAGGTTTTTTTTTTTTTTTTTTTTTTAAAGGTTTAAAGAGCATTATCTTTATGAACCTGCTGATCTCCTCCACTTTGTCATATTCTTCCATCTGGTCCAAGTAGTTAGATGCTGGTCCTCTGATTTGTTTTCTTGGAAAATCTGGAAAGCACAATCCACCATCTTTTTTTGCATAATAAAAGCAAAACTCTTCAGCAGTAGTTTGAAGGAAACCTTTAAAAAATGTAAAAAGGCTCATTAGAAATAGTGGCATGTAAAAACACCCTATTGGAAAGATAAAAACATAAGGAAAGAATTTTTTAGGAACTTTACGAATAATCTAGGAAAGTATATAGACAAAAAAGAAAGAAAAACTTTTCTTTGTTTGGGATTTTCATTTTTTAATCAAAACTTGAGATGTTCAGTAAGAGTGAAATTATGTCATATTGGATATTTTAAAAGGCTCATGTGAAGTACACATTATATGAAACCCAGCATTTCTTGTTATTGCATTGATTTATTTTCAAGCTTCCCCAGTGATCACATGTTGCACTGGTGAGCTTATCCAATCACTATTCAGCATTTTTTTTTTGCCCTAGAGTACTAATAATTTCCTAAGAACTGCAAATTAGAATAAAAAAAAGATAGATCATCAGGTGCTAGTTCAGGCCATTTTATAATTCTTACTATATTGTCACTTACATATGATTAAAAAATCTAATAACTATCACAAGGTTATACACTATAATGAATGATTGGACAACAAATTGATGTTGATAACAGAGCCACCATTTTCAAATATGTAGGTGCTGTTTCCTACACTTCACTCTTAGAAGAAAATGATTATTTTGCATAACAAAAATTATCCTACTTAATAAAAGAGTAATATGCAAATTAACTATCACTCCACCACACCCACAAGCTATGCCCACCAGCCAATCAGAGTGAGTATGCAAATAAACCCAATTAAGATGGCTACAGCCAAGAGAGCAGGAGGGAGGCTTGGGTTTCCCAGGTAATAGAGGAAGCCAAGCTTTCCACACACCCTGGTGGACCCAGGCCTCCACTCAAGGGTACAAAGTTTCAATTATAGAAGATAAACAAATCCAAACAGAAATGGCAGCAGCCAGGAAGCAAGCAGGAGGCTTGGCTCCACTCTAGGCTACAAAGTTTCAATTATAGAAGGATACCAGGACCTCCACTTGGGTTACCATGAGACATGGCTGGCCTGAAAACCACCACAGGCCCCTCACTCAGGCCATCCCACTTCCCAAGGGAACCCCCACCCTGATCCAGGACACCCTTCAGAGCAAACCAGCTGGCCCCTACCTGTGCACAGGCCTCTATCCTATCTAATAAAAGAGTAATATGCAGATTGACCATCACTCCAACACATAATATGGCTGCCACCATGTGATCAAAGATCTTGCCCCATGTGGACACAAGATGGCCACCACAAGGTGGCCAGCAGGGGAGGGCAGTTGGAGGTGATCAACCCTGCAGGGGAGAGCAGTTAGGGGTAAGTAGGACAGCAGAGGAAGGAAGTTGGAGGCAAACAGACTGGCAGGGGAGCAGTTAGACATCAATCAGGCTGGCCTGGGAATGATTAGGGGGTGATCAGGCTGGCAGGCAGAAGCAATTAGGGGCAATCAGGAAGGCAGGCAGGTGAGCAGTTGGGAGCCAGCAGTCCTGGATTATGAGAGGGATGTCCGACTGCCTGTTATCAGGCCTAAATGGGCAGTCGGACATCCCTCGAGGGGGTCCCAAATTGGAGAGGGTGCAAGCTGGGCTGAGGGACACCTCCCTGCCTCCCGTGCACAAATTTAATGTACCAGGCCTCTAGTATTTAAAATATCCTTTCAGTTTCTCAAGCACAACAGCTGGCATACCACCCTTCACTGAAAAATAATTATAACAAGCAAAAACAAAAAATGCAATATAGGTATCTGAAAGACAAATAATTTTGCTTACATAGTAACAATTTTTATGAAATAAAAAGCATGATCATTTATAATTTTGACATTACTTTTAACATTTGAGTTAATAAGGTGTTGGTTTCTTGGGAGAAGGGCATATTAATGATTCACTTCTGATAATTTCTGCTATCAAAATAGTTTGTTGCTACTAGAGTTGACTTTATATGAAATTTATGAAGTACCAAATTTCTGCTTTTGGTCTCATACCTTTCATTATGTTTAATATTTTGATTTTTACATAATAAATCAGATTATCATGCCCCATCAATGTTGTGATAAAGGCATGTGGTAACTTAGTTGACATTCAGAAGTTGTGTAATACATTCTGGTTTACATGGATTTCTAAGAACAAGAATTTGGGGACAACTATAATAAATGAGGCTTATCAATGGATTGTGTAAGACATATTTCTTTCCTATGAGCTTGACCAAAGTCCCTTCAAACCTAAAACTATTCTTGGGAATTGAGGGTCCCAAATGGTTAAAACTTGATATAGATTTTTTTTACCTAACTTTTGTTAAAAAGTATCACCCCTAAATTTCTGAGGCAGATTCTTCAAGGCCAGTATCTGATTAGGCTATTGAAAAACATCTTATCTTTTTGAACCAGGCAAAAAAGAGCAGATGTCCTTGAGAGGGTATGTGTGTATGTGTATATGTGTGTAGAGGTGGGAGTTGAGTGGGAGGTGTGGACAGAAAAAGGAGGCAGGGCAGCTAGGAAGGGTGTTTTTTACAAGGGAGAGCAAGGCAGCTGGAAGAAGTTATCTTTGTTTAATAAAAAAAAAATCAGCAATTAGACATTGAAGAGCGAGGTGAACACTGCAGCAGCATTTACTCATCTGCAGCAATTCACTGTCTGCAAAAGTCACTTTTCTCCTCCAGTCTTTAATGGCTGAGCAGACAGAGGAAAGCTGCCTAGGGATGTCCAACACATTTGCCAGAGGAAAAAGAAGGAACACTGAGCTGCTACATCAAACTTGGCCCGGTGCACGACCTCATGCATGGGTGGGGTCCCTCGGCCTGGACAGTAATTGGGGCAATCGGGCTGTCTCCCACCCTGATCAGGGCCTGGGCTGATCGGAGCAGGCTGGCCAGCAGGTGGGACCACAGAAGGGACTGTGGGAGGTTGGTAGGCCAGGCCGCCCTAATCGGGATTGATTGGGGTCAGATAGCTGGGTGTAAGGGGGGCGCGATGGTTGCCTGTGGGAACACACTGATCACCAGCGGGCAGCTTCTACATTGAGTGTCTGCCTCCTGTTGGTCAGTGTGCGTCATAGTGACTGGTCTTTCAGTCGTATACATATACACACACTCATACATAGCAACTATATACACATATCTAATATATCTATATATTTATATTACATATACTATATGTGTTTATACCATATATATTATGTGTACTATATCTATAAATTTACATTACATATAAGATATATAGTATATATTTATTATATATAAATTGACCATCAAGCAAGAAGAACTCCATGCATTCAAGAAGACTGTCAGACTATGGATATATTTATAACTGAATGTATGAAGGAGAAATCTAGTGTTAATGTGATGTTTGCCTCCAGAGTCATAGAAAAATTTCAAAGCACAATTCAGAAGAAATTTTGATTTTGGTTGTTTGCTGTTGCTGGTTTTTTTGTGTTTTTTTTTAAGTCTGCATTCCAGCCTTACAGTCTGCAAACCAATAACATCTTAAGGGGAAATGAAGGAACAATGCTGGTGGCTGATTCCATTTTATAAGGAATTATTAGCTGGGGACAAACGAGGAAATGAAAAATCATTTTCAAATGGGACATCAGAAGATTAGTGGTGCCGATTCATAAACTTTGTGGTTCCTGGGGGTACCACACTCTTTTAGCAAATTAAAAACAAAGCAAAAACAGAAGGTTCACAATTAATTGCTCTGAGCTTTTTACAAATTCTAGACTCACTGAGTCAGTCATCTAAGTGTGAAGGAGGAAGCAGACTCAGAAGACTTTTACATACAAAAGGGCATGTTTGAGATGCTCAGGACATTGGGCTACCATTTATTGCCAGGGAAGATTAATTTGCCAAATGGTACCCTTCTTTGGAAAACTGAAGCACATCCTATTCAAAGTGAGTGTTTAGCTCACCTTGGATCATCATATTATGATCAAGTGGCCACTCATAATGGATGTCCACTTATTATTTCAGAAGCCATATTTTTTGTTTAAACTCCTGATAACTAACCAACTATCTTGGACCTGGAACTTTTCCCTCCTGGATCATGAACCCAGTCCTACTACACCATGAAGCACCCTATCAAACACTAACATGCGAATAAATATTCTCAGTGGAGAAGTCCCAGCTCTAGCTTTTCTCTCAGCATGTATGCTGGAGAAAAGTTATTTTTCTTCATTGCATGTGGTGTTCATCACGATAAGGAAAAAATGACCTTGGCCTCATTAGCAACAGGATTAAACCAATTGAACTAATTGTGTACAGACATTTCACACTGCAGTAACCTAGAGATGACGTCTTAGAGTGATAAAAATAATTTTGATAGCGATGTCTAGTGTGGTGTGCCATCACTTAGTGAACAGCAAAGCACCCACTCTGTCCGTCATACTTCAGGCAGAAGAGAAGACCTGTGGTGTGCAGAAAGGAGCTCCTGTGGTGTTCTGTTTTGTTTTGTAATTTTGGTACTTTTGAGAAGTTTTAAGAATTTACCTCCCAAAGTAAATTCACAACTATGATTAAGAAAACTCTAATGTATTTTCAGTTTTGTGATTTTTTAACTTAAATTCTTTTCTCCTTTTTTTGGGGGGGGCGGAGGTGTGTGGATAAGCAGGACATGAATATTTCTACATTAAATTTTCTAGAAAGTAGCTATCTTTTAGGTGTCAGAGTGTTCCAAAGTGACTGGTGTATTATTAAAACCATGAAGGTGAAGCAAAGGAACAGGTCATTTACATATTTAATCTTTTACTAGAGGCTTGGTGCATGAAACTTGTGCATGGGGCAGGGACGAGGAGGGGGAGGGAAGTCCCTTCAGCCCAGCCTGCACTCTGTCCAATCTGGCAATTTGGAACTCCTTAGGGGATGTTCAACTGCCAGTTTAGACCCAATCTTGGGCCTTAACCGGCAGTCAACATCCCTTTCACAATCCGGGACCTCTGGCTCTTAATCACTCACCTACCTGCCTGCCTTGTCACCCCTAACTGCGTGTCCCATTCCCCCCCACCCCATGCTGGGCTGGTCACCCCCAATTGCCCCACCCTCTGCAGCTTGGTTGCCCCTCACGTCCTCCTCCTCCCCTCCCCACTGTCCTGGTCGCCCCACACAGCCTGCTGTTCAGTCATTTGGTCATCCCTCACTAACCCTCCTGCCAGCCTGGTCGTAGGCAGCCATCCTGGTCGTAGGCAGCCATCTTGTGAGAGCATGACAGTCAATTTGCATATTATATCTTTATTATATAGGATGTTTTGGGCAAGGTAGGAAGAAATGAAGATGTCTCTGGAGTTATTTCCAGCCTCTTTCAGCATTTGCTTTAGCAAAATACATACCTTTGGATACCTTCCTCTTCATGATTTACAGAAAGATGGAGTATTAATAAGCATAGTCAAAATACGTTAACTAGCTTCTTATTAAAAAAAATCACAAAGTAGCTGTTTTTTGTTTGTTTGTTTGTTTTTACCATTTGAATTTCAGGGAAAGGTAAACCATGCCACTAAATAGACTTAAGGTGAAAATATTATACACTTGCTTTTTGAGCAATTTCTAAAAAATCAGAGTTCTAGAATTCTAGAGTCTTCTGGGTTTGGGGGAAGGGCAGAGGGCATATTACCATCCATTCATCATACTTTAGGAAATGATAACCTACATGCCAAGGATCAGTCTGGCTAACAAACTGATCAACATAAGGAACATAAATAGTGTTATTACAGCTAGCTTTGGGGACCTGTATTTCGAGCGATTATTTGCATTTGATGGATCCTGAGAAAGGGCCTGCAGCCTGCTAGCCTGTCCCGGGGAAGCGCCCTGGCTGCTCCGTCCACCACTGGAGTGGAGCTTTCATCTGGTTATCTTTCAAGGCAGCCTGGGTGGCCACCGAAAGCACTTGACATCTTGATGCACTTCAGCAGTTTTACATATATACAAACTCTGTAGAAAAATAAATTTGTCATTCGTCACCACATATGTTGATCTGGGGAGTGAGGTGCTTGCCGCTCTGGCTCCTGAGCTATTTGCTGTGCTCCCTCTTACAGTGGGTATCGCTTTCTGTTGTTTGTTTTGGAAGCTAAAATAACTTCAGATACAGGAAGACCCCCACAGATGAGTTCCCAAAACCCAGCCTGGTTGTCTTGAAGTCAAGTAGATCGAGGTAGATGAAAATGCTAAGTGTTCACATCCCTTTCAGCTTAACGGTGGTCAAGGCGAACCTTTTAAGACTTGAAATTTGCAGCAGGCCTTTATGGGACCTAATCTGTTATCGCTTCTCGACAGGCCATCTAGGCAACCGTGACCTATTCTGCTTTGCTTTGGGGAATGTGATAAAGAGGGAGAAACAGCTGGCTTAAAAAAAGCCTTCGAAACATGACTGTAGTTTATAAAGACAATAATAATATTTTCACATTGAATGGGTTTGGAACCATGTTATGCTATACCAAAGGAAGCAAGTAACCCTAGTCAAAATGTTTTCTTAGGTTATTAAGAGACTTCTATAAAAAAAAAAAAAAAAAAAAAGGAAGTCTATACTTTCTGTGGGTCAGAGAAAAGAGTGAAATGTGCATGGCAATGAAAAAAAAAATGTATCTAAGTGCATCCCAGAGTTCTTGAAGCTTGCCTTTTCCGCCAGTGCCAGGGAGTTTTCTACACTGTTAGCTCCAGATTTGTTTGTGTGTGACTTTGCCTAACTAAACTAAAGCTGTCTCCTTAAATTCTTTTCTACCTTTATGTTGATTCTTCCAACTAAACCAACAACCAAGGTTTACAAACAGTTGATGGTAAAATTAATCAATGCCCAAGCATGTATATGTTTATGAGGGTCCAGACCATGATAGTGACCAGGTAGACTTGGATGACTGTCAGCATGAGACCTTCTCTGTGCACCCCATCACTTTCTCACTGCACAGCTCAGGGTGAGCATTTCACCCTCCACCCTCCGGAGCCTCAGGTGTCCTGTCAATCAAGTGGACCATTGCTACCTATCTCCCAGGGTTTTTGAAGTGCAAATTAGTCATGATATGTCAAAGTGCTTTGTAGGGCTTTACTTTTTTTTTTTTTTTTTGAATTGTATCTTATTTAAGGGAATGCCTTTGAAATCAGTGGACAATCTGCATTTATGTGTCAACTGTGTAGAGGGGGAGGCTGTCTTGATATTGAGGTAGGTGGGTAAAGGAGAAACCAGTAAGAAACTTGTACTGATAATCTAACATGTGGAAAGATCACCGACTATATTACCTATTTAACAACAACAACAAAAAGCAGAACCTTTCAACAAAACCAATGTACTACTTGTGGACCGAAATGACAGTAATCCCATTTAGCAGCAATAAAAGTTTACAAGTTTGAAAAGGGTATTGATGAGGGAAGAATAGGTTTGTTGAAAGGTGAGATACATTTTTAGACTCCCGGATGCAAGCACTGAAGGACAAATATCTTGAAAGGATGTTCTGCAGTTTACGTAATGCACGCATCTTTACCTGGAATGTGGCCTCGGCAAGTATAAAAGAATTCTTTGCAATAGTCTTTGCAGAGCAGGGGGAGGACTAGGTCTCTGTCCAAGGCTTCCCTCTCAGGTGAGTGGAACAGGTTCTGAGCGTATGGAGAACAAAGCGCACATCTGATCTCCTCCAGTAACTTCCCACATTCGGTGTTGTTGTTCACAGAAAATATCTGAAAGCCGTAAATCAGAAATAAACTCCTTTTTAGTGATGCGAAGTTAGGTTTCCTTGCTTTTTATTTTATAATCAGGTAACTAGTAAAGTATGATTTAGCCAATACAGTTGTCTGAAAAGAATTGCCATGTGACCACAGAGAATGCCTTTATAAGGATACACAGGTTCTCTCTGGTGTGGGATGGGAGAGCCAAGGGTAAGGTGGACAAAAGTCTTCTTACCCTTGCAAATCAGAGTGGTTTATCTGCCTTTCAGGTGTAAAAAATTTTTTAAATGACAATTATAGTGAGACCCTTTATCTCTCTCTCTTTTTTTTTCTTTTCAGTTAATTTTATTTTATTTTTATTATTATTTTTTTATTGATTATGGTATCACATAATTGTCCTCATCCCCCCCATTCTCATCCAAACCCTTCTCTACATATGCCTGCTTCAAAGTGTATAGTGACTGATACTTAACTTTAAAATTCCAAATACCTTCATCCACTAACAGGGTGTCACCCCAAAAATGTACACATCTTGAATGATTATAAAGTCAGTGTTTATTAACATACAGTTCATTTTCAAAATTTAAAGAATGTAGAGAAATGAGTGTATATACAGTTTTTTTTTTGGAGACAACCTGTATATGTAAAGCAGAATTTTAAATAAACCAAATAAACCAAATATATATATATATATATATATATATATATATATACCAAATAAATATATATATACAAATAAACCAAATATATATATATATATATATATATATATATATATATATATATATATTTGGTTTATTTGTGTCTTGGGTAAAAATGTATTTCACTCCTGAAATTCCCAATTTGATATTCTCAAAAATGTTAACTTGAATTACATTTCTCCCTTTCATGTTCTATAAAAATAATACCTGGAGCTGAATCAAACTGGTTTAAGACCAATTTTTATTATTCATTATATCTTAGCCAGAAAAAACTTTCAAACTAGCTTCTCAAGGTATGTTATATGCATGAATAAACTCAAGAGTCTAATAAAAGTGCTTTTGTATAGTATTTAGTAAGTCTTGATGGGAAAAAGTATGCTTTTATTTTTACTTATACAGTAGTATGTCTTTTACTTCAATGACACCAATTTGGGTGTCATTGGTTCACTGAAGTTAGGTCTCAGTGCCTTAGTACTAACTTTAAAAAATGGATTTCAGGAGTCCCTCTAATTAATATGGAGGAACAGTATCAGCACAGTATTTGAGATGTGAAATGTAGTGCTGTCTAAACCAATAACTGATTTTTCATATTGAAAAAAACCCTAGTAGGTCTGAATTTTCAACTTTTTCCCAATTTATGTAACTATATCTGTACCTAATCATTTCTTTAGAAGTATGAACTGGAGTTAATATTTTAATACATAGATCATTGTTTAAAGCAAATATGTCATTCACAAACTGAGGTTCTAATTTGAATACATCATATGGCTTCTATTTTTTATTTAGAATAAATATATTCTAGGTGATCACAAAATTTGGATCTTCAAGAGCAAAACAACTTAAATACCATAGAAGGTACCCAGTTTCAGAAAAAAAATTTACAATATGTTACAACTATCTACAATATTCATAAGTTACTACTTATCACAATTATATGTACATTTTAATTTTTATCAACTTATTTAAATGACAATTGCTTAAAAGGTTAAAGTTTTCTAAAAGGAAATACACACCAGACACTTAGAATTTGCATTCCAAGAATGTTTTAAATGTCTTTTATTGTCCATACTCTGGCAGACCTCACCAGATCCATCCAATATTAATACTGTTCAACTTGGTTCAGTTTGTTTATCATACAGCAGTCCTCTAAGAACAAAACAACTGCAGGGTGCTGAAATCACCTCCTTTGCTGGCGGAAAAACTGCAATGTAATTACCTTTGATTTTATGGAGAATATGCACGCTTCCATTTTTTTTTTATTTTTTTTTAATAGCTGAAGCAAAATGATCCCCATATACTCTCTCAGCTGCTGTCCAGGAAGAGCTTGAAGTTAGTGCCTAAAGAATTTTCTCTTTTACAATTTTTGGAATGTGTCCTGGCCACAAGATCTCTCATCAAAAGTTTCAGAAGTAGGATTCAATAAATTATCTGAAATCAAGTATAATATTATTCTTTGTAAAGTTTCATGCTGTTCCGGCCCAGCAGGATGGTAACATTTTGCTCTGTGTGAGGTCTGCAGTGTAAATACCCATTTGAAGATAGATAGAGCCATCATCCTGGCTTTGGTTTCAATGAACCAATAGTCTTACTGAAGTCAATTAAACTGACTCAGCCCAAGCTGCAACACTGTTTTAGACAGATGTGTACTGCTGTGTGTGTGTGTGTGTGTGTGTGTGTGTGTGTGTGTGTGTAGGGGATTTTTTTTTTCTTGTCAGCCTATGTGTCTGTGACTATACAGGTCCTTAACTTTATATCTGACAATGTCATCAATCTTAAGAAGAAATTTAAGCTAATTTCCTGTTTTGATTTTTAAAAGCCATATACGAAACCATCAAATTATAGTGGTTTAAACTAAATATACTTTGGGAATCATGTAAAACTTCGAAACATTATTACAGCATGCCTAGTAATGACTGTGGCTGTTGCTGACTAATTTATAACATCTGGCAGGTCATCCTTTAATCTTGAGCCACATAAAAGTAAAACCCATAGAAGAAAGGTAAGATAAATCCTGGGATACACAGTGAAGCGTGGCCTACAACCGTAGCTTATCAACAAGTAGTAAAATGGGTGACAGAGACCTTCTGTATTTCTCTTTATTTATCAAGTAACTAAACAAAGAGGATAGAAAGGCCCCCACATGGGTTTGATGAGCAGACAAAGGAGAAAATACATGACAGTATATTAAGATGTCACCTTAAGATCACTTGGTACCTAAAAAGTTATTTCTAAAAATCATATGCCTACAATGTTCTTCAGCTGTTGGGTAGAACACATGGGTCTGCGGACTATAGCGCTGGATTATGTCATTAAAGAGTTCAGTTTCAATTTTAGGCTAATATGTAAATAGATCATTGTACGAAGGCAGCTGTTAAAGGGATCCCAGGATGAGTTATTTGTTTAGTTGGATGTGTTCAACAATAGGCTTTGTCCCTGAAAGAGCCAGAGCAAACAAATGATTGTAAAAGGGCACACTTGAAAACAATTACTTTTCACCCATTCCTTGACAGCTTTGGCTGTGAAACCACCCAAGGTAGGGAGATCTTCTATGTTTCTGTGGCTACAAGTTAAGTTTTAGAAATGGGGGTATTTCAGTTGGTAGCTGTTTCAATTTGGCTAGCAGGAATTAGATCCTTTTAGCAGGTTGTATTTAGGAGCTGCAAAAATATGAAGATAATAGAACTTCCTAAATCTTGTTAGTCGTTATTTATAACTAGTAATTAGCCATCCATTGCAATACTCAAAGTGATTAAAATAACAAAACATTAAAATATATTTTAATAAAAAACCACAATGCCATGGCTATAGAATTGAACTCAATGCTAGTTCATTACATGAAAGAATATGTGTGAGTCTGGAAACTAGACTTACTGGCACAGCTCAGCATGCTCAATACTCCTCCATAATTTGCTGCTATCTATCTGTGAAGATTCTTCCCATAGGAAAAAGCTACTCCTATAGTTTCTTGAAAAGTTGCAGAAATCTTTCCGGGGGAAATAACCCCCCCCCCCCCGCAACAAAAAAGCATCCTTTCAAAAAGTCATCATCTCTCCTGTCCACATATTATGAAATAAGACCCTAGCATATATTACAAACCAGAAAAGCTTAGGGAAAGAAGGGAAGCAATGATGTTTATTATAAAATAACATGTTTTAAAAATGATTAAAATTTGAGAGCTAGCATAGGTCAAGAATGCATAGGCATAGTGATACCAAATCTGATTTGCACAATTTGAGTATTGTTGGTGTATAAACCATTTGTAATGAAACCACCAAAGTCTAATGTACCAAATTTAATTCACACACACATTTCCCAAGTGAGTAGGGGTTTGTTGGGGATTGGGAGCACATAAAACGGAAAGGAATGTGGATAGCTAACGTGGCAGATTGCTTCCTAAAGAATGATTTCTTAAAAAAAAAAAAAAAAGCTTTATATAACTTCTCTTAAGGATTATAATTTCCATCAGCCCACCCTCTTCCCCCAACTCCAATCTCCACTACATTTAATTAATAACAAAGTTTTCATTCTTCATGTTCATGTTTAGTATGGCAGGGGTCTGCAGGATCATGGGGGTACTCACAGTATACACTGCACACAGGGAGACTTAATGGCAAATATTTCTAAACCCTCCTTTAAATTTCCTGCTTCTTTTGAGATCCTGGCAAAACCCTGCAGATGATGTGTATGTGATAGCTCTTCTTTCATTTAATTCAATTACAACCTAGGAGCTTAATGACACTGTTTTTGAGTAAAATGCTGCAATATCTGTTCCCTGACTCTCAGACCACTGCTGCATATGGTAAGAATAAAGAGCGAGATGCAGCTGAAAACCTGCAGCAAGACAGTTCTCACTCATCTGGGAATAGAGGGAGTTGGACAAATGCTCCCTCAAAAGGCATGAACATTTGGACAGAGCTGGGGACTGAAAGAGAATGATGTTCTCTAGTTTCACCCATTAGTGAACCAACTAACAAACACAATGGTGTTGTTGTTATTCTTTTGCCATAAGCAACAGGACTCTGTGTGTGGGCAGCAGTTTAGTGGGGAGGAGGATAAGTCGACCCCTTTTTGTCCTATTGATTTTTTCCTATTTGCATGACTTGAGCAAATTAAATGATGCAATATGGCTTTTTGTTACAAAACAAAGTGAGAGATACCACCCAGACACATATGTTGATTCGTCCGAGCTGTTTACATGAGAATAGAGTGAAGTCTACCGTGAACTGAGCATAAAAATTAGATTCAGCCTGGGTATTTTTTTTTAAATTATTATCATGCCTGGGCCAGCAAGACTGAAGCAGAAGTTTTCCAAGAGTCTCTCAGACCTTGACAACTACAGTGTTGTAACAGAGGAATTCTTAATTAAACCTCAAATGGGGAAAGGGCGGGGGGAAGGGGCAAAGACACCTGATTGTTTATTTCACGCGCAGTGCTGGCTAAAGACGTGGTCCCCCAGGCTTTCGGAGGACAGCAGACCGCACACATCACTGCATCCCATGGCACGAGAGATGTTGCAAACTCCAAAATAAGCCAATGTTTCCAATCAGCCAGCACCCTTTGCATATTTGTTTCAACTTATCAACAAGAGGAAAATATATAAAAGCCCTTGCTCCTGACACGTTTCTGGAGGAGATCTTCCCAGACAACTCAATACCAGGGGGGGAAAACAAAACAAAACAAAAAAACCCTGAACTGATAATATGACAAAGCATTACCAATAGGCACGGAGAACTGTCTCTGTGCTAGGTGACTACTACGCCCCAGCAAAAATCTCTCGCCAGTATCTCTGGGTTCTCCCCGGAAGACCAGGACTTCCCTTTTCGCTACTGAAGGACTGTAATGCTAGACAACCCCCTCTGACGGGCTGGGGATCATAAACCAACCATGCTTCACCATCCTTGACGATGCAGCCCTCTCTCCCTTCGCCGAACACGTGGAGAAAGCTTGCACAGATCTTTTTCACTCCAGGAAAAAAAAAAAAAGAAAGAAAAGAAAAAAAGAAAAAAAAACCACCGGAAACCACAGCCACCTTCATTTACAGTTTCACCGCAGCCAGTGCCCATTGGATCCAACACACGCTGTTCATCGCGACTCTTTTTAAAACTGTTTACCCAGCCCCGGAGGAGGGTACCACAGAAGCGCCTCTTTTCCGAGGCAGGCGGCTTTGCACAGCATCCCGACCGACCGACCGACCGACCGCGGGCTTCTGGGGGGCGCGGGCGAGGTCTCTGTGCACCGCACCCCGGAGCAACACACCGCGCAATCACGCCAGCGCTTTTTAAGAAAAGTTACCCCAAAAAAGAACTCCCCCAAACACAAACGTCCGCCCTTCTTCCAGCCACCAGCCAGCAACTGCCCCGGAGGGAGCCGCAGGGGAGCCCACCCAGCCAGGTGGCCAGCCTCCCTGCGGTGCCTACCTTGTGATCCAGGCGCCCCAGCCCCGGGCTGTCACTCCGCAGGCAGCAGGACAGCCGCGGGTAGAAGCCCCCACACAGCAGCTCTCCCCCGCTCAGCAGCTCCTGCTGGGACATCATCCTCCTGTCCCTCCTCTTCAGGCGCTTCGGGGGGCTCCCATTCAGGCACCTTCTCCTCCGCACGCCGCTCGCCGCCTCGCTTCTCTCCCCAAACTTAGCATCCCCTTCGAAGAAGCCCAGGGCCACGGCCAGCAGCAGCAGCTTGAATGAGAGCATCTTCAGCATCGTCTGCCCGGAGGAGCGGCTGGGGCTGGGCGCGGGCAGCTGGGGGGCTGCAGGGGACGGAGGGGGGAGCCCCAACTGCCCGGCAGGGGCCCTAGGGCGCAGCTCCGGGAGGAGACTGCAGGGCGGCGGGGCGCGCTCGAGGCAGAGGGAGGTGGCGGGGGGCGATGCAACTTTGCAAGAAACGGAAGGCGAGGAGGCGAGGATGGGTCCAGAGCCTCGGGGGAGCCCGGGGCGCGGGGGAAAGTTGTGCGGATGACACCGGGTGCCGCTGCGCCAGTGTCAGTGGGGTCAGGCGCGCTCTGCCGCCGCAGGGCAGCGGGAGGAGGAGGAGAAGGAGTCGGAGGAAGAAGAGGAAGAGGAGGAGAAGCCGGCCACGGAGGCTCCCGGGTCGGTGTAACGGGAGCGGTGTAGGTGAGACAGGGGCCGGAGCGGAGGCGGCGGCGGTGGTGGCGGGGCGGGCGGACGCGGGGCCGGCGCGGGGCTCCGGGGGATGCTGAGGTCTCCTCTGCCGGCGGCTGCAGCTTCTCACACAGCCTCTCATGTTTCGTTCCCTCTTTTCTTCTTCTTTTTAACTAGCGCGCGGGGAGGTGCTGCCACCGCGCGCCCCTTGACGTCACCGCCGCTCGCGCGCCTCCGCCCGGGCGGGGGGCGGGGAGGGGCGGCCCCGGCCCGAGCGCGGCCCCGGCCCCGCGGCCTCCGGGTGCGCGGGGAGGGCGGGGGGGCCGCGGCGGAGGCGGGGTGGGGGTTCCCCGGCAGAGCTCCGGGAGCCAGCCTCCAGGGCGCGGAACCCAGCCCACCCGCCGACGCCGGAGCTCGAGATGGGGGCGCCCCCGGCCCAGCCCGATCCTTCGGTCCGGGGGCTCGATCGCGGCCCCGAGAGTCCCCGCCGGCTCCTTTCTCCGGGCCGCGGCCCCACCGCGCGACCCCGGGCGAAGGCGGCCGAGCCAGGGCTCCGAGAGACAGTGAGTAGGAGGGGGCCGCCGCGGGAGGTGAGAAGGGAGGGCCCCTCTCGGAGCCTCCCCGCCCGGGGCCCGGCCCGGCCCGCCCCTCGCCCCGAGGAGGATGAGCTGAGGAGCTGGGGGCGGTGGGAGGGAGCCTCCCGGCCCCTGTCCTCTCCGGGCCTCGCACGGACATCCCTGTCCCCCCGGGTCATTTTCCATGTGAAGCTCCAGTCGGTTAAGATGTTCCTTGGAGTCTGATTGCCAGGTGCTGCGAGCCGCCGGGCTGAGCGGGTTTGCAGACTGTCCCGAGCCGGTGCCCATCCTCGCCAAGGAAGGAGTGCGCGCGCGAGGTGGGGTTGGCCGGGGTGCACGGCGGAGGCCGCCCGCGGGAGGGCTGCCCACCTGGGCGGGCGGCCCGGGACGCCCCCGGGAGGGCCCCACCTGTGCCCTGGAACTCTGCCAGGCCCCGCAGGTGATCCCAGCAATGCAGGCAAGCACGCAGGTTCCCCAACCCCAGGTGAAGGGGAGGTGAAGAAACTGGCCGTGAATCAGCTTCATTTTCAATGAAAATAATAGTAATAATAATAATAATAATAATAATAATAAAACTCTTGGGGAGAGTTCCCAGCACCGAGGCATTAGTTTTAAAGATGAATTCCTAGCAGGTTCGCTGATGTCCAGCAGTGGGACGCCCTATATGTCCCGTGTACCTAAATCAATGAAACTTTCCCCAGTTAAGAGTCTGCCTAAAGAAAGAGTTTCTAAAAAGATCTGTATGCTATCAAGAGTGGTGACTTGACATTTTCAGGATCCCTGCAAGTTGGCATTATAGGCATTGCACACAAAAAGTGTGCTCTCTGCTGCTTGAGTATTTATTATTTAAGAGGGGAGAAAATTTTCCGGTAGATGGATCTTGAAGAGGAAATAGAGTAGTTTTCCCATTTTGGCAATGGAGGAAATGTTTGCCATATTTGGATTTGCTTCACTTCTGGGACATAGATTTCATCGAACTGACATGAAAGTTGGTGATGGTGGAAATGGATAACCCATGGAACTAATTATTGTTAGTTAAAGTGGGTGCTGGGCTAGGTAAGGCTTCTCTGTCCCTTTCACTTCCTGGGTCCAGATTTAGGAGTGGAGCTGCCTTCCCCTTCTCCCCCCCCTTACACACACACACAAAAGAGGCAATGGATTGCAATCTCTGAAAAGATTCTATCGGAATATTTGGTCCAGTCCTGAACTCAGTGTGGGGCCCCTATAACAAACTACCCTTTCTCCCAGGGCCTGTTGGACAACATGACTCTAGTATACATGTGATCCCAAATGTGTCTTCTGATCCACAATGCTTTTTATCTGACATTTTTCCTGCTTTAGGGGTTTCTAATATAAAATAAAGCATACAGTTATAAAACTTTAAACTATTATTTAACAAATAGATCTGGAGATGAATCCCATCAAGATTTGAATCACACAATCTCAACTGATTAAGTTGTTTAAAAACCAGAACCCAGGGGCCTAATCTAGGTTGCATTCCACTATACCCAAATATCAGCTTAGTGGGTTTTCTTTTTCTCTTTCTTTTTTCAAAATAAAAATCTTTCTAAATTTATATTTCAGTGGTTTGAGCTCTTGCTCTAAGGTATGCATCCATCTTAGTAGTTTCAAAACAGGCCTTCCTTCTGGTTGTACTTAGAGACTAAGTTCACTTAAAGGTAAATTAATTTTGGCTTAAAAAAAATGATGAAGCTGTTATAACCCATGACCCTAAGTTTCAAGAGAGAGTTTGGAAAGGATTACAGAAATGAGACCATCAGGACAGTCAATGGGCCAATGACGAGTAGTGGAGCTTATTCCCAGCGCCACTGATAAAATTTCCATATAGTCACTAAGCAGAGGTATACACACAAACTAACTTCTAATTCTTGATTTTGTAGAGGGAAATTGCAAAGTTCACCTATAGTCAGATTGACAGCATAATTGTGTAGGAATGAAGAATCAACACTGGTTATTTTCTAAGATTAAACCTTGAAAGCCCACTTGGAGGCTGCACACTTGAACATGAAGAATGGCCTTCTTCAGCTAAATGATCAGAATTGGAGAGAAGAAGAAGAAGGGACCCCTACCCGGCCAGACTCCTCCAGACAAATTGCATCGGTCTTTGTAAAAAGCAAGCTGCATGAGGATGCCAGATCACCATGTTCTGCTCACACCAGCACTGAGCAGCCCCATCCAGGACTGCCTGCCACTGTATGCAGGCGGTGCCGTGAACAAGGGTACCTGGCTGAGGCAGCCAATGGGAGCTGACATCCTGCTGAGCTCCACTCACCAAGCAGTCTGGACTGGTGCATGGCCCAGACAATGCGGCTCCTTCAGATTTGCACCAAGGCATCCTGTACGGGATAGGAACAACTAGGACCATCCCACCCCATACACCAGTCCTAGCCAGGATTATATTCCTGGCTTCAGATAGCTTAAAGGGTCTCATGAACATTTTAGGATTATTGTAAAAGATGAAATATTTGATTCAATTGAATACGTAAAGCTCCAAATAGTACCATGTATATGAATTATGTGCGAAATTTCTATGTATCAGTGGTTAGCACAACTTAAATTTGGTAAATGTTTAAAATAAGATTATTTGGGTTATTGCAATCAGTTTTGTATATGGATTTTTGGACTTCATAGAAATTTGCAGTATTTCATTCCATTTCTATAAATTTATAGTAAGTGCCAAAGACTGTGCTAAGCAATCTATATGCAGTAATAAAAAAAAAATACAAACACCCTGCCTGTGGATAGTTAATAATCTAGTAAGGAAGTCAGATGATAAGGTCACAAATTTATGTTTATTACTTGTGGTCAGAGTTATGAAAAAATGCCAAGATAGAGAATATCAAGGCATACTTATTTCAGATTAAGTAACTAGAAAAAGCCTCTCTGTGAAAATGAAATTTCAGCAGAGGCCTGAGAAGAGTCAGAAGGAGTTATGAAATGACTCCACTTCTGCCATTTAGAGTACAGAAACATTAAAATTCAAAATAGAATGTGATACATTGAAGGGAAAGCACAGAATACAGTTAATAACTAAGAAAGGAGAGGCTACAGACCAAGTTCATAGTGTGGATTATAGACTAGGTAACTAATAAAGTTATATCCATGTATTTGTCATTTCCTTTTGCAAGTACTCTTTTCCTTTCTACCTTATCCTTATAGATTTTTAAATTCTGGCTTTTTTACTCAATTTCTAGGAGTTATTCAAGTTCAAATTGCATTTCAGCCATTGCATCTCATCTAACCAGCACTTATGTTCTATATTTTCATTTGTGCATTGTTGATGACTCAGATTTTTTTCATACATGGGAGTCGAATACCTATGAGATGGTCAGCTCCACCAAAACAGGAATGGCATTTCCTTCTTTGATGAATCCAGAAAAGAGTTTAAATCAGTCTCATCCTACAGTGCCAGCCTCCCAGTAACTGCTGCTGACTGGCCAATCTTGTTTGACTTAACACTTTTCAAAGATTTAAAATGGAGGAAATGTTTGCATTATGACATTTTAAATTGTTAAAGAGGAAGGTAGACACACCATACATTATCACTAAGGAATTTCAGGAGACATTGCTATCAAGCGTAATTCTGCAGAGGAAGGGCAGCAAACAAAATTAAAAATTAGATACTGGTAGTAATTCAAACACAGTGACACACCATTAGGGCTGCTGGTAGGGTGTTGTTGTTCTTTTTATTTTTATTTTGTTTTTTTCTAGTTATTCATTGTCTTTCAAAAGTTGGTACCTGCTGTGTGCCAGACCCTGCTCTGGACACTGGGGACAAAGCGGTGAGCAAAACTTATCTCGTAGAACTCACATGCTATTGGGGAAGAAAAGTCACAGACAGTCTGCCAGAGATGAGTGCTACGAAGAAAAGAGGTCATGGGGCAGGAGAGTGTGGGGGTTGGGAGAAAACATTTTATATATAGTTATTACAGTTGCACACTGGTTAACACTGGGGATATGTTCTGAGAAATGTGTTGTGTGCGTGTACATAGAGTGCATGTGTAC